AACCAGCGGCCGCGTCTTCTGGCCGCTCTTGGAAGGTGGTGCTGCTGCAGAGCCCTCCCCAAGGGAGACCTGGGGCACCTCCTTCTCCATCTGCAGGGCCTGCAGGGACAGGGTCTTCAGTGGAGACCTTGACTCAGGGCCTGCCAGCTGCAGGGCCTGCCTCGGTGTGGGACGCCTGAACCTGGCAGCCCAGGTCAGCTGGTGGGGCCACCTTCAGACTTCTCTCCCTCCCCCGGCCTTCTGGAAAGTTCAGGGGAGCCCCTGGCACAGTCTGATCCCATCCTGGCCCTGCCAGAGACCCTCCCACCAGGGTCACATCCAGACGTGGTGCCCGCGCTGGCCCACGTGGCCTGGGTACAGGGGCTTGCTGGTTGGGGCGTGGCTGAGCCGGTCACAATGCCCCCTGGTGAACGGCACGGCAAGATTCACGTCTGAACTGCTGTTCCTGGCCCTTGGGCTCCCAGCAGCCTCTGGGGCCACACAGAGGGCAGACAGCGCCTGTGTCTTGTGTGTCTCCGTGACCAGAGTGCCAGTCCCACTCGGGACGGCAGGTGTGGGCAGCCCTGAGTGGCAGGCCTGTGACAGGCATGCGCCCCAGCATGCACGTCCCCCACCCTACTCTGTCGCCACCCAGGGCAGTGCCCCAGCGCCCGGAAGCACCAGGTACAGCTGGGAGCTGGGGGAGCCAAGCCAGTGGGTGCAGCTCCATCCTGGGGAGGCCTGGAGACCAGGAGTAGGGAGGGAGGCGCGGCTGAGACACTCGGAGGAAGAGAGCAGGGCTGGGCCTGGGACAGACGTGCAGAGGCCAGGCAGGCGTGAGGGCAGGGGCCCAGACGGGACTGTGGCACAGGTGCCCGGTTCCCGAGAACGCTGCCACACGGGCTGTCTCCCAGCCCCAACTGGCCAACGGGTCCCTCACGGCACCCAGCACACCCAGCCCCTCCCCACCGCTCAGCTCCAGGCCACAGGTTTGTGGAGGGCAGCGACCCGCCACCCTCCTTGCTCCGCTGCCCACTGCCCACAGCCCGTCCCAGCCCATTCTGCAAAATGTGGAAACCCAACTCACCCCTGGGCCTTCAGAACGTGGGAAACTGGGCCAACTCCTCCCGCCCTGGGCACCAGAAGTGTGTGGGCCACTGCTCCCTCTACAGCACCCATGTCAGGGCACCCCCACCCCACAACCCTGCCCACGAGGGCACCAGGGGAGTGTGCCCGGTGTGCCCTGTGCCACCCATGCCCACCTGGCTGTAAGGGTAGAAGAGCGTGCAGATGGCGCAGTAGGGCTCCGTGAGTGCAGCCACCGCGTTGAACCTCCTCTCAGCCTGGAAGCTGGCTGCACGGTTCTTCCACTGCAGGGACAGCAGGGACCTCAGGGCCTCGGGGTCATTCATGTCCTCCTCCCCGGAGAACGGGGACGCTTCTGGAATGACACAGGGGAGGGAAGCTCGAGCACCGTGGAACACATGCAGGGAGCAATCGCAGCTGTCTGGGTGGGGCCCAGGCCTATCACTGGCCTGTCCCCTTCCCGGCTGTCCGGCTCTCACATGCCCACTGTGGTGGCATTACGGTATCTTTACGGGCGGAGACGCATCTGCTCTGCTTCCCGAGGTCCCCAGTGCCTGGCCCTGGACGACTGCCACACTGAGACTTGGGTCCCCCAACCCACGGTTCCTCTGAGCCCTCCCACCCTGGACATTAGAGCTGCCCACGTGCCTGGGGCCTTACGGGTCAAGAACCAGCCAAGACTCTATGCCCAGCCCTGCTCTGCCCCGAGGCCTGAATGCACATGGGCCGGCGGTGACCAGCAAGGTGTGAGGACACTCTCCTTCCTCTCACATCAGGGTGGCTCAGCCTACCAGGCGGTGCAAGTCTATGGTGAGTGGGCTTGACTTCCCGGAAGCCCAAGACAGCGCAGGAGAGCCACATCACCCAGGGCATGTGCAGGAAGGCAGGTGACACCACTTGTGAGAAGCCGTGGCGGTCTCTCTCCCACGCTCCTGTTGCTGCTCCCAGCTAGTCTCTGACAGCCTGTTACCAGCTGCTGTGCCCTGATTCCCCATCTGTGCCCCCAAGCACCTCCTGGGACACAGGGATGCCGTCCCCAGGAAGGGGATGCTGGTACCTGCAGCCCAGCCCTCGGCATGACTGGACGGGGAGGGTGGCACCCTGGGCTCGTCCCAGCTGTGGCACTGCACCCAGCTCACCTTGAGGATGGGCACCCAAGATGACCACACCTGGCTTGGAAAGACCCAGCCAAGACTCCTGCCTGAACCTCAGGCCTGGGTCTAGTTAGCTGGTCCCAGGACAGCCCCATGTGGCCCTGAGGCCTCTGGATGGGGACAGAACCCCTGGCTCCTATCACCAGGGAGGCTAAGGCCACGCTGGGTTCTGGGGCCACAGCGGCCTCATGAGTCAAAGCTCTGACCTCACCCAAGGGATGCAGTGGGGGCGGGGGTGGTCACTGAGGCTTGGAGGCGCCTTCTGGAAGGAGCCAGCTGTAGGAGAGGTCTTGGGTCACGCTGCGATCCCCTCACTCCTGGGGCCGGTCCCGAGCCCCCAGCACCTCCAGAGCCCTCCTCTCCCCAGCCTCGGGCCACTAGGCATGGAAGCACCCTCAGGACCAGGTCCGAGCAGGGAGAGACTCTAACAGCAACCGCTCACCCAGGTGACCGCCTGCCTGGGTGACCTCCTATCTGGAGTGACTGCTGACCTGGGTGACTGCCTGGCCAGGTGACTACCTACCCCAGGAGACCGCCTATCCAGGGTGACTGCCTGTGGGATGATCCCCTCTCTGGGATAACCACCTGCCCCAGGTAAGCACCTATCCAGGGTGACCGCCTGCCCATAGTGACTACCTACCTGGGGGACCATACACCTGGGGGACCATACACCTAGGGGACCGCCTACTCCCTGGAAGACTGCCTATCTGGGGTGACCACCTGCCCTGGGTGACCACCTACCCATGGTGACCACCTGCCTGGGTGGCCAGGATGAACGAGGCTTCTTTCACATGAATAGCCTCCACCTTCGAGGCTGCCAGTGCCCCTGAGGATGGGCTTTCCCACTGGCCATTTCCACCACGGCTGGGGTGTGGAGATGAGGAGGGACTGGCCAGTCCCGCCAGTGAGCTCAGGTCCTGCCCAGCTGAACCTGGCACTGACCCTGTTTCTAAAACCACCACCCGATGGGGTGGTAGACACTTCGGCCCCCGCCCGCCATGTGCTCCCACCACTTGCATGGAGTCACGCTCTGCAGACCCCCGGCAGACCCGCAGCTGAGAGCAAGAGGTGTGGCCTCATCCCGGGGCTGGGGGCCACTGCATGGCGGGAGAGGGGCTCGGGCAAGAGCAGGGACCCACAGCCTGGTGTGAGCCGCCAGGGGGTCCCAGGCCACGTGGCCCACCCCAAGCCGCAGCAGCCTCAACCCCGGCCTCACCGCAGCCAGAGCGCCGGGGACAGGCCTCGGTTCTGGATCTTCCCGGCCAGCCATTATGGGCCGGCGGACCCATTTTACAGATGGGTGAACGGCGCCACAGAGGTGGGTGGCGCCCCAGCCCGGGCCCTG